CATACCTCTTCTATCCCCTATGCTGTCCAAAGAGACATAAATATCAATTTAGGAAAATCGGAGGTTTGGGTACATAATAACAAAAGGAAGTTAAAAGTTTTGAATTTAATTCCTTTACTGGAAGATCATCCCTGACTTCAGCTGTGAATTCAAAATGGCGTCCTGTTCAAAACGAACCTTTCACTGTATGCCAACCACAACTAAAGATAATCAAAAGTCATTTCAAATCGTTTCACATTATGTGAACCAGATAGACGCAAACAAGACATCCACAAATCAGGGAGACTTTACAGTTATGAATCATGTTATTTCCCCACAAAAGGCAGAGTTAAAATATTATATTTATACTTTACATGACAATGATGTGAGACACAGATAAGATCCTGCATCTGAGGAATAGTTATTTGGATTTCAGCTTTCCTCCCTTTAAAACTCTTCTTTTAATTAGTTTGAGGTAAATTAAAAATAATGAGAATTGACTTTTAATATTTTCATTTCATCTTTAATTTTCTGATATCCAACTCTGAATTAGTTACTCTTCATTCTGTTGTTAGCAAGTTTTATTGTAGATGCTACCAAACAATTCTCCCCTTAGCATTCATTGTTATTTGTAGTTTCTTTTGTAATTGGCATGAAGTGAAAGGCTCATTACATTTCTGTTAATTGTGTTATTTTTCACTATTTGACTCTCAATGGCTTATTATTTTCTCATAGTCTATGACAAACTCTTGATTTTAGTCAAATATATCTATCTGCTCCCCTAGCTTGGCTCACTTTCCCTCTAGGATGCTGTCTGTTGTACCTCTGTCCTTAGTGAACCTAAAATTATTCTAGAACTAATTTAATTGCCAGGTTTTTCACTCTACACAGTAGAGAGTTCCTAATTTATTGTTTCATATACTACATTATCTCAAGTGTTTAGAACAGTGTTTGGCATACAGTAAGAATACAAAGATTCTGTTGAAGCAACAAGCAACTAGTTATCCAAACATAGTTAAGAAAAGAAAACATAGATGTCTTCTAATGATGAGTTTAAAATATCTACATACTGCAGTAAAGGCTGACTCTTCCTCTTAGTTTAATGCCATTTTGACAAAGCCATATGAGTTAGGAAAGCTATTGTGATACCTTGAATCAAAATAATTCAAGTCTCGAAAAACCAAAATAATAATAATAATAATAATAATAATAATAATAATTCAAGTCAAAAAAATTTCTAACACTCAAGCTGATAGAGTTTCAGTTAGAAGCTGCTGTTTTTCTCATATGGAACTGTGCTTGCGATACGCCAGTTAAAACTTGGCTAAACATATTTCCTTGGTATGCTAATGCCTTTTGCAAACCTTTTCTTGATTCTGCCATGTAATTTAAAAAGATTCAATTAAGGGAAGAGGATTTAACTAGCTTTGAATGAAACTTCTAGCAAGAACAGATTTTACATTTCAGAGCAGACAGTTGTTTTATTATTAGCTGTATTGGTTTACATTGGAAACAGAATCTCCGTTAAGTTCCTGCCTCTGACTAGATCTCCAGCAAAGTGAAGTGTGGCTAGTGGGGAGGGGGAGGGGGAGACTCTGAATGAGAATAACACCTGTGATTCTGAAATAAATGTCTGAAACACTCAGTATTCAACAAGGTAAAGTGTTAGCTTTTATTTTGCCAAAATATAGGCACTCCTGGGGATAGGTGCTAATGTTACCAAGCAAGAGGGTCAGTATCTCTGAGTCTCAGCTTATTCATCTCCTATGTGGAATAAGAATATCTACTTTTCTGGACTGAAAAGTCTGGGAGAATATCAAACACATGCCCAATCCTTGAACACATGAGATAATTAATAAGGTATTTATTACATTTAATTAATTCTATTGAAAATGTGGTTACCAGTCAATTAAACTACTAATGACCTTCTAAGGAAATAATATAATGACTGGGTAACCAAACAGCTAAGACTAAAATGTATTGCATGTATTTCAACAACTCTAGTAGAAATAACAAAGAAACAGTACATGAATAAGTCAAGCCCACTGACTCTGTTGAAACACGAAGTTTGGAACTTCAGTGACCACATGGGACATATATCCAATCACGAGTAGAAACTCAGGACACTTTCTTATGTCTCCCCATGTCTCAGAAAGACAATGACAAATGCTAGTTCTCAAGTAAATTTAATGAAAACAAGTGGTCACGCATCTGACTCAATAATTTTCTACAAGTGTTTAAACATAAGCTGAAGATACTGAATTTATCAATACTAGAAATAATAGCTGATGAATACCCTGTGAATGACGCTTCCTCTTCTAGTTCTTGGGGAAAAAAAAGGAGACAATATGAAAAAAACATGGCAGAGTAAATTTTCAATCAAGGCCCTCAAAATGTAAGAAACATATTATCAAATGGTACTCATGGAGAGTCTTTGGGAAACAAAAAAAATCAAAAATTCTTCCATCATAAATCTTACAATCTGAAGTTTATTTGAAAATGGATACAATCAAGGCTTTTAGATAGATAAATCCAGTTGCTGATGCACAAATTTTATATCACAAATTATGTTTAAAGTATTACATTAATGGCCAACGGACTGGTAAGTTTTCATCCTCAGTTACTGGATTAGATTTGACATTTTATGCAAAACCTAGAAACACACTCTACTATCAAGACAAACCATTGGATTTCTTCTTCCTCTTACCCTCTTTAGGTTATGTGTATACTGATGCTCACTTAAGAGTTACAGATTCCTTCCCCTGCAATACTTTCTTTCTACGGCATTTAGGGAAGTTGCTGCTGCACAGAATTCTACTCTTTGTTTGTCACATAATGAGGATTATGTGGAAAGGAAGAGGGTCTTGTGAACCTTTGCATGACAAATCCTTCGCATAGTACTTAAAATAATAAATAGCTAAATATATAATTATATTTATTATATAATTGCAATATTATATAATAAATATATAATTGGTAGCTTATGCTAATATAAGCTATATAGTCTACTACAATAAAAAACATTAAGAGTTATTTTACCATTAATTGTGTGTCTGTGTGGGTTTGTTCATAAGAGTGCCAGTGGCTGAGGAGGCCAGAGGTGTCTGAGATCCCTGCAGCTGGGGTTAGGAGAACAGAGCTGAAGCCATCGATGTACGCACTGAGAACGGAACTAGAGTCCTCTGAAAGAGCGATATGTGCTCTTAACCATTGTGCCATCTCTGCCGCAAGAAAGGGTGTATCCTTCCATTTTAATCTCCTTAATTTCCAAGTATAATTACATAATTTCTCTGATTCCTACCTCTAATCTTCTCTATGTACTAATAACCCTCTTTATCTCACTATGGTCTCTATTTCTCTAATTGTTTTACAAATACATAATTCGTATATAAGTATGTATATATTATATATAATTTGTGTGTGTATATATTTTTTTCCTAAATATATAAATGTATCCCACCCAGTCCATATAATGTTACTTGTGTGTTTATGATCTTGGAGTATATTCTTTTCCATCAAAAGCTCAGACACAGCAGAGACCTTGCAAATTAGAATCAGTTTCCTTCTCTTATCTGATCACTTTCCAACTGCAAGAAGCTGTTTCCTTGTTTGACAGATGAAGAACCTGGAGATCTACAAGGGACTCTCAGTTTGTCAGATAATAGCCAGGTATGAAAAGTTGAATTTCATGATCAAAGTTCTTAAACTTAAAACTCATAGAAGATGGGTATATTGGAATACTACGTTCAGTGTGTCTCTAAGGTTCTGTTGAATAGATAGATGGCCAATCATCTTCGACTTTTCAATTACTGTTGAACGCTTGCGACTTTCCCCTTCTTGGTGTCATTAAAAGAATGTAGCATTGGTCATACGCAAATACTCGGCGAGTACTCTGCAACCCAGCGGGTCTACCTCTGAGAGTCTCTCGGTCACAATGATGATTTAGCTGTCACAGGGAAGGGCAGAATCCTCATCTCAGCACTGTGCCCACTCATCTCTGTAAAGCCCAGAGTAGGTTTCTCCATGTTTCTTCATGATTTGATAAGGAAACGAGGCTTGGTAAAAATTTAGTGAAAGTTGGCCCACAGTCAGTATTTGAAGCCTCCCAGAGCTGAAACGTGATCAACTGACTTTGAAATAAGACATTTCACATTATCTACCTGTAATTCGGAGGGTGCAGGGAAAAAAAATGAATCCCCAGGTTAAGATGTAGTAAATGGTACCAAACATTCGTGGCTCAACTCTTGTCATGCATGCTAACTAATCAATGCAACTCTGAATGCAAGTTTCTTCTAGATTAACATGAGAGGGTCTCATATAATATGGTTCACAGACAGAAACTCGTTTTTTATTTTAAAATCTTTTAAGGAAGTTTGCTTGTAAAGGCAAGTTATTTTCCTACCTCCTAAATGAGCACTGACTTGTAGAACCCTGGCCCTCTGTCTGTTACCTTGTACTGTTGAGAGTGGCCATTCTAAACAAAAAGCTTCAACAGAAATTAACCGCAACTACAATGATATAGCAACATCTCCCATAGCTGGTGGTGTTTCCTCTGGAAAGGGATGTGGAAAGAGAGGTTGAAATGTTTCTTAATCTGAATAGAATTCTGTCCCCACCTCTCTACTCTCATCTCTCCCGTTTCTGCATCCTCTTCCTCTGTGTTTGAGTGCATTCTGACCATTTTGCTTGGGTGGAAAGTTGAAAGAAAGCAAACCTGCTTACAGCCAAGCCAGTGCTCCTGATGGGTAGATGAGCAAAGTTCTAGGGCTGAGCGTTCCTTTCTCAGCTCCTGGCCAGGCAGGCGCTCGCGGATACCTGCCCTGCTTGGCGCCGCACTGAAGATTCGCCGCCGCGGCAGAACAGTTGAGTCTCCATCTGGCTACCAACCCACCCAAGCTTTCTTCTCCTCCATCACCACCTTCCTGCCTCCCCCTCCTCCCCCTCCTCCCCCTCCTTTCCGTCTTCCCTCTCCACCCCCGCCCCCAATCTCCTCCTCTTTTTCTCACTACAAGCCGTTGCTGATGCTGAAGCCGAGCGTCACTTCGGCTCCCACGGCAGACATGGCGACATTGACAGTGGTCCAGCCGCTTACTCTGGACAGAGGTAAGGGAGCGGCTGGTCTGTCAGGCCACACAGTCCGCACCGCTTTGCCCTCCGCCCTGCCCAGTCCCACAGGGAAGGCAGGATGCGCTCCGGTAGGGGCAGTTGGGGGAGGAGAATCAGCCCAGGAGGGTTTCGCGCCCGGAGCAGGACACTTTCTTCCCCTCTCTCCTCGCCTGGTCCCCGCCGCCCCTTCTTGCAGCGCTCGCCCGGGCGTGGGTGCTTGCCAGGGCTCGGATGCTTCAGCTGCCAGTCTCAGTCCGTCACCGGGTCGCCTGCGGGCCCCGGCTTTGTTGGAGAGGATGCGCCGGGACCGCTGAGCGCTGGTGACTGGAGGTTGGAGAGGGGCAGAGAAAGCTCTCCCGGCTAGACCTGCTAAGGGACCAGTGGAGAAGCCAGCTGTCAACTGCCGGCGCGGGGACACGGAGGGAGGAAGTTTGTCCCCGCGCTGGAGACAAGGGGTTTGTGCAGCTCCAGTGACTGTGAGATCGCCCCGGGGCGGCAAGGCGCTTGGCTGGATATCTAGGTGCAAAGCCGCGGGGCTGCCACGCTAGGGCGCTGCCCTCAGGCGAAAGGGCAGAGCAGAGCTCCGGCACCCTTCGCTGGCTCGGGGACACTGCATCCAGGAGCCGAGCCGGCTTGGCTCCAGCTTCCTGTCCGGAGCTGCGGCTCCGGTCGTGGTACTCCCTCAGCCTGCAGTTCCAGGGAGGTAGCAACTCCTGTCTCCTGCTCCAGCAAATCTTGTTCTTCACCAGCCAAGTGCACCTCAGTGCCTGGGCTGCAGAAGGCGCGGAGACAAAGCGCTGGCTGGGTAACTGTTTAACTTCTAGCCTGTGACCTGTGCGTCCTACTCTTTGGCTGAATGGAAAACAGTGGTTGCTCAAACCTTCCCAAACCTGGTTATTGGTTTCTCCTCTGGGATCGGGCCCTGCCTAGAGCACTAGAGAAGTACCTGGCTGGGAATGGGAGTTTCATTTCTGCCTCACCAGGTCCAGTTACTAGGGCGCCAGAGTTCCAGCTCTGCAGAGAGAGGGCACCTCTAGCTCTGGGTCCGCAGCGGCAGGGCTTAGGACCCGGTGCAGCCATTTGAAATGCTGTGCTCAGAAGAAAATGATTTAGTCCTTGTCCCTCTAAAATTTCTCTTTCTGGAGGATTAAACTAGCGGGCCCAGCAAGGCAAAAAAGAGCATCCTACTGCGAGCACAGTGGCAAAGCTTGTAAACTGTGTTTGAGGTTCTTAATTTGGAGAGATCTCTGGTGACTTTAACTCAATCTGTTGGTGCCAAAATGGATATTATGCGGTGCCCATAGCAACCTTACTTAGGGTAAGAGTTGAAAATAATTGATTTTTATGTTGGGAAATGTTCGCTTACAAGCTTGCAAATTAATAACAGTAAAGTGCTCAGAAGTCCGTCGTATAATCTATGATTTTTAGTCCCAATATCATCTGTACTAAGCAGGATAAATCCATTGCTGGTAAGAGCCAAGCAGATGGCAGGCTATTAAAAACGATGGGTTTCCCAAGTATTTCTGTTTTAATGTAATGAGCTCTTCTACTGTCCCATTACTGGATTACAGTCATTAAACATCCCAAGTTTAACTATATTAAGCATCCCAAGTTCTAACTACGCTAGAAGCCAACACTCCAAGAAGACCACATACCCAAGTAAATTTAAATCTCATAACCACTATTAGTGATACAACTAGTCCACTTTGGGGGAGATTATCTTAGCCCTTGGACGGCCGAGTGGGCTGTCTTGAGAAGACCAAGATTTAAAGTGTGTTCTTGTCTACATTCAGATGGTACCTCTCCTTCTGTGGTTAGATCCGTAGAATAAGTAACACAGGAAGCCAAGCTAGGTTATCTATGTGAGCACCTGAATTAATGAACCACTGGCTTTAACAGCTTGGTGTGTAAGAAGACCATTAAAGTTATCTTCCCTCTACTTCACTGTGATCGTAACTTAATATGATGAGTTAAGTAATTCCATTAGGTTGATGAAATATGGGATTCTAAACTTTGTCCTGGTTCGGTTGGGCATTAGGAATTAGGGTCTGATTACTGTAACGCTGTGCAGTGTCAGCAGTCTGTAATTGAGTTGTCCCAACTTAGGATGAGACCTAAATCACCTACTGGAGATTTGGGGTCATTCCAAGCTTCCGGAGTACCATTTGATACATTGGCTGGGCGGTGGTGACCCACGTTATATACTCTAAATTTGCCCACTCAAAGGCTTTGGCCCCATCATGGCCTTTATAACCCTTCTTTACTTTTGTCTTCCCCAATGTGTAAAGCCCCTTGAGGGATGAAGCCATTTCTTAATTCATCTTTGAATTCCTCATCGTCTCTAACTGGTGATGGAGTATAAAGTTAATGCAGATTAGGGAGAGTGAGCTGAAGCCTGGAGTGACTCAAGAGCTGTTAATTATGCAGATTTCATAGGGAACTGGAGAACAATTCGTGGCGTTATGGCATTGCAGAGCTAGCAAGGATGCTAGAAAGGAGTACATAAGGCAGTGGTTATGAACCTTTCCCAGGTTCACTCGGTGGATTTCTACCAGCCACAGTTGTTCACCAATGCTGGGCCTTTTGTTTTTCAAGACTGGGTTTCTCTATGTAGTCATGGTGTCCTGGGACTTGCTTTGTAGACCAGGCTAGCCTTGAACTCAGAGATCTGCCTGCCTTTGCCTCCTGAGTGCTGAGATTAAAGGCTTGTGCCACCAGGCCCTAAGTTGGATTGTCACAACCTGGAAGAAGGAAACGGGACTTGTGTCAAGCACTACCAAGTGCATTTTACCAAATCAGAAGAGGTATGATTAAGATTTTTGGTTCTTTTCTAGTATTTTCATTTACAGAAAAGAAACATTAATAGATATTTTTAAGGCTATGCTACCTCTAAGTGGGAGATTTGATTCTAGGTTGATATTCTTTGGAATCAAGGATGTAGAGTTCATTGGGACGGTATAACAACTGGAGGGTGTCAGCATAGTATCCATAGGAATAGAAAAAATTCCATATATATGCCACAGAGTGTATCAAATGGAAGTCCAGAAGCTTGGAGTGACCTAAAGTCCCCAGTAGGTGGCTGAACGCTGAGACCTAAGTTAGAATACCTGGATTTCAGACTGTTGAAGCTTCCTAATGATCAGACCCAAATTTCTAATGTCCACATTTTGAAGGAAACAAGTCGAAGCTACAGGATTGAAATTAAGACTGAAATTGCCTCAAATTCAAATGAGATGGATCACTGAAAGACAGACTCTTAGAAGTCACACCCACCTTGGTTTTCTGTGTGATAACCAAGACTTTAAGATCCAGAATGGCCCAAAGGAATAAAGAGGGTGACCCTGTGGCTTTCACGTCTCTCTGTGTATCCCAAAACTGTTTTCTAACTGCCATCAATGACATTGGAGCAGGAAGCATTGCAGACCTCAGGGTGGCTATCGACAGAGTAGACTCCTATTCACTCTTTATTGATATTCATTTACTTACTGAGACCCTAATATAAATCACACTTTATTATGGGACCAGTGTATACTGAGAACCTAGACCAACGACCATTCTAATTTCTGTCACAAGTAAGAGCCGGTAGGGAAAGTTTGTTGTTGTTTGTTTGTTTGTTTATTTTGGCATACAAACAAGTCATTCATCTATTCATTCAATATACATTTATTACCTGTTGCATACTATATACTAGGGCATCAATTTTCAACCTGTGGGTCTCGACCCAAACAACCCTTCCACAGGGGTTGCATATCAGATATCCTGCATGTCAGAGATTTTCATTCTGAGTCAAAACAGTAGCAAAACTATGGTTATGAAGTAACAACCAAAATAATTTTATGGTTGGGGGCTCACGACAGTATGAGGAATTGTATTGAAGGGCCGCAGCATTAGGAAAGTTAAGAACCACTGTGCTCCAGGAACACAAGAAGAAAGGTTTCCTAGTCCCATGAATCAGAAGCATCTACTAGCGAAGACAAATGGTAACAGATGGATTGACTAAAAAATATTGAGTGGCAGCCTCATTCCAAACACTTCTCTAAGCACAGAGATAGTGCCAGTGAGCAAAGAGAGCAACATAGGTAAACTCTCATGGTGTTGGCATGCATATGAGAGAGCTACAATATACAAGAATGAGGCTGGGGGAGCAAAACTCAAACAGAACAAATGACAAAGAACCACCATCGTAGGTATATTAGTCAAGGAAAGACCCCTTTGAGATTGTGACATTTGAGACGAGCACTGAATAAAGGGAGGAAACAAACTAACGACATTTGGGGGCAAATAGGCTCAGGGTGAAGAACTGCCAGCCTCCGAGCACATCACAGTAGCTACTATGAAAAAGCAGGCAAAAGGGGAGCCTTAGGAGAGGAATATCTGAAGACGGTGGCCAGAGGCCAGATGACGTGACTCATAACAATGATGTTGGATTATATGAGACTGTGCAGTGCTCAGAAGCAAACAATCAGAGAAGAGACTAGGCAGGTGACAGCTATTTGGTTCATGTAGCTCAAGGAAGGCTCACCGAGAAAGGAAACTTTACAGTTGGCCTTCATCTACTCATACAATCCTGAGGACAAGCAGTCCCAGGGAAGCAGGCATGCATAACTGCAGTTCCAGATTTACTACTTGGTTTATCATCTGGCTAATGCACTGATGGGAAAACAGTCGAAAGAAGAACCGATTATACCATTCAGATATAGCTTAGGTTAAAAATTTGGTTGTTCTGGACCAAGGCAATCTACAGATCGGCATCACTCCAGGTTTTATTGCCAAGCTAATATATTATATATGATCATTTGATTCTCAAAGATACACTAAGCACTGTAATTTTCATACAGCTGCATGTAAATCTCCATCTTGAATCCAGGTGGCCTTTCTTAATATGGGATGGATAGTTATCTGCATAGACAGCAGTGTAGACAGCAGTACCTAGAATTTACCCTTGAGCCAAAGGAAAATTCTGATGGGAGAAGCGTGAAATTTATCGCTTCCCAGCT